GGGGCCTTTGGTCCCTGCCTGAGCTGTGTTGGAGGTGTGCCCGTCCCTGCCCCTGGCTCCTGGATGGGGCTGGGGCCTGCACTGCAGAGAGCTCCTGTCCTGGATGGAGCCTGCAGACCTAGGCCAGAGCTTGTCATGCAGAACTCTAGGCATGACATAGCAGATCTATGCTGTTCTGGTCTAGCCTAGTCTAGTGTTCTTCCTACCTCCTCCTTTCCCTAGGAGTATATGCTGGGGAGAACTCTGATGACATTTCTTCCCAGCCCTGCACTAGCAGAAGGCATTCAGTGGGTAACCATGTCCCAGCCCAGGCATTGGCTCTGTCACTTTCTGGGAAGGAGGCATGTACCCTCTGACAGGGGTGAGAGCCATGGAACATCTCAAGATAATTGGACCATCTGAACAAATTTGCAAAATGCAAGTGTGAAGTGTGATTTTTTTTTTTTTTTTAAAGTCTGTGTTCATCCAGTTTAGGATAGCAAAACCCCACACTTCTGACACGAGCGAGGCTCAAAGATCAAGCCCTCAGTCTGATGCACAACGTGCTCATCAACGGAACAGTTGCAAATCTTTTGGAGGTGAGCAATAGCTGTTCATTTCCCCATGGATTTTTTATCTCCTTGTACTAATTTTTAGAAATGCGTGAGCTGTTTCACTGGGAAAAACATAACTAAAACACACAAGTCTGAGAATAGCGGTACTCAGGGCGAAGGTCCATCTGGCCTGATACTTGGTATCCAAAGTGGGCAACGATAAGGGTGTGTGAGCAGTGTAAGTCTACTTCTGTCAGTAAACAGAGTCTGTCAGGACACTCCAGGGCCATACCTCTTCCGTGACCATCTCGGGTGGCAGAGGAAGCTTCCTTTCTGAAGCACCCTTGAATTCTGCCAGGTAAGCTACAAGGCCACAAAGCAAATAATTAAAAAAAATAATAGAAAGAAATGAGAGGAGCCCTCCAAGGGGGATGTGATGTCAGCTTGCCAGCTCAGACCATGGTCGACACAAATACTTTTTTACTACTATATCTAGGGACCTTAATGTAGCTTTCTCATCATACTCTTTCAACTGATTTTATTTTTCTGATTGCTGGGTTTCATCCTAATAAAAAACTAAGGAGCGAGTAAATTCATAACTTGTTCTACTGCCTCCTTGGAGTTACAATCAGGAGTGATTCTGTTCAGAATTAAATTACTAAACGTTGGACTGAAATTGCTTCCGTGTCGTATTCTTTTTCTATTTTCACAGCTTTGCTTTAAAAGCTGAGCTGATGCAGCCTCTCCACTGCTGTCTGTAACTAGGAGCTCAAAAAAGCTCAGAATAGTCAGAATTGAAAAGAGGAGGCTGAAGCCCCATCAAGCATCTTTTCCTCTGATTGCTACCTGACACAGAAGCCTCTCCACGCACAGAGTTTTCCTTGGGAGCAGCAGCTCCTCCTGACACCCCAGAGCCATCCTTCACTTAACCACAAGGTAGTTATCTACCTCACTGGAGAAAAATGAAAAAAATGTCTCCTTTTTAGTGCATTTGAGGAAACTCGGATTACGCACTTTTTTTCTCTTCCTTAGCGAAGTGGCTACTTCCAGTTTCTGGTCCAGGTGTATCCACTCCTGACTCTCTGCTTGTCCATCATGGTGAGTGTTCCTTGCCCGGCTGCAGTGAGTTTCTGCTCTACCCCTTCACCAGTGGGCAAGCTTACAGTCAGTGCAGATAATCCCCTGGGGAGGGGCTCCTGGACACATCCTTCCTGCAGCCTCCATGTCTCGTGAGGATGGGCAGGACTTACTGCACAGGATGTGGCTTGGATCACCAGCTTCCAGTACTTGGTCCCAAGTGTCCAGCTGTAGGAAGCAGGCTGTGGAAGAGGCCCTTGTTTTCCTCTTTTTAAAGTGTCTTTCCAGGCTGTAGGACCTAGCATGGTCATACTTGGAGTTGCAGGGTGACCGCTGACTCCGGGAAGGAGCGAGAATGCAGTTTGTGGTTGTATCCCGAGCCAACTAGAGCTTCAAAATGGAACTGGGGAGACCCTTGAGGGAGCACCCCAAAGAAACGAGGAGGGGCTTTACACTCAGAAACCTGAGGTTTTAATAGAAGAAAACCTAGAATGTTTCACATTGTAAATGGAGAAGACTCAAAGTGACTGGGTAGAACAGAAGATAATAGGGAAAAGCTTATTCCTGACCCTCACACCACCTCCCTAACAACAGGTTTCAGGCACTTGCTGATGCCCAGGTGATGCTCAGCCACCTCCCTCCTGCCTTGGCAGCCCAGCTGCTTTTGCAGTGCAGAGCCTGTGCTTTCCTGAGCAGCACCATGACCATGTAGATGCGTTTTCCAGCACAGCTGGGTGTGCTCAGTTATCTGCTGAGACCCCATTTCCAAGAGTGGGGCTTGTCCTGACCAGCTCCTTCCTCCCCACACTGGCACCATTGCTGGCAAAGGCTGCACCTGAGGTGTCCTCCAAGCTTCCCTCCTCCTCCTCTTGCAGAATCAAGAGGATGCTGTTTATTTTTTTACGTAAACAAGCAAATTCTCCAGAGCCCATTCAAATGAAAATGGAACTTGGCCAGCAGTGGGGTTTTCCAGCACTCATCAGTTAATGACTGCACATAAGCCTTTCCCTTCCCCAAAAGTAAAAGAATAAACATCAAAAGATCTCCAGGGAGTCGTGAATCGTCTGGCTGCAATGGCAATGGCTTGAAAATCTGAGAAAGGGGAAGCAGAGCATCCCAGGCCACATCTCCTGCCAGATAAGCAGGCACAACCCTGCAAAAGCAGGAACACACTAATAGTTTTAATTCTTGAGGTCCTCTCCATCCAGAGCAGCCTCTTCCTCGACCCTGGCTGACAGGTGCTCCATACTTGTTCAGCCACCACCACTATGTGCTGCCCTGGCCACCCACTCAAAGCATCCCCCATAGCTGAGGAGTGGTTGAGTGAAGCTCTAGGCCATGGGTAGACATGCCACGGGCTTGCAGCAAGACTGTGCCTATCTATTCCCCAAATCCTTCTGCGTCGATCAGGGTCCAGTCCTTGGATGGTGGCTTTGCCCCAGGCGTGGTTAGAGCAGGCTGTGTGCTCCCTTGGTCCATGGCTGCAGGGGAGCCTGTGTTCCCCCATCTTGAGGATATCTGCCATGGGTATGACAGCATCATGCCACCTGCGCTTGGTGGCCCTGCTCCTGTGCACACCACAGGCAAGACAAAGACGCATCGGGAGCAGCAATACGACCCATGTCGCAGCTTGGCGTTGCCAGTTTGGGCGCAGCTTGCGGAGTGTCGTAGTCTCCAAAAGGCTGCTGGCTGGGATGGCCTCCATGGGCTGGAAGGCTACTCTGATCCCAGCAGCTGTGGCCCAGGTTTTGGGAGAGGCTCCTGGAGAAGCTCCTGGAGAGGCACACGAGTCCGCAAGAAGAAAGCCTGGGGCAGAGCAGAGGTGGGGAGGTGGCCAAGAAGGGAAGGGAGGACCCAGAAAGCTGTGGGAGAAAAGGAACATGCTTTTGGGGATCAGGAGGAGGGTACGAGGAGTTTATTACAGCCCAGGGAGACCCTGAGTCGCTGGGTTGAAAACAGGCAGGAAGGAACAGCATTGTCCTTAGGGGCTGTGGGTTATTTTTAGTTCTCTGGTGCCTACACTGCATGGGTGGCCTCACGTCAACTCCTCCTGGGCCAAGTCATGCTTGTGAGACGTAGGATCTCCATCTCTCCATAGCAGCTGAACCAATACAGGGGTCTGAGTATGTGTCTCCTGCAGCTGGGGTTGAGGAGACCTGGGCATGACCAGAGCAGTTCTCAGCACTGGTTGGTTTTCCCCCAGGTTTTTTAAAGGGCACCCAGGGATGACACAGTCCTGCTCCAGAGGGGAAGAGGGTGTTTGGGGGGGTGCAAATGTGAGGAAGGGCTTGAGGAGGCCCCTTGGGTAGCTCACAGCAGATGAGGGGGAAACCGTGGTGCCCTGGGGATCTGCGTGGGACTCTGCTGCTCCATGCATCCACTTACAGCCAAAAAAAAAAAAAGAGAGAATGGGGAAATAAGCTTCAGAGCAGGGGCTATGCATGCCTGGCAGGGACCTGCAGAAGGGTCTGGTGGTCTGAATGGCCAGGTGAGGAAGGGGGAGTCGAGCACAGTGGGGAGAAGCTGTCCCCAGCTTAACACAGAGAGGCTGACCCCCTTTCTGTAGGTGCCTGCAGGATCTGGGAAGCTTCAAGGCTGTGAAGGGAGGAAGATGTTGGAAAAACACCCAAGAACTTTGAACACAAGCCTTTCCTCAGCCTGATTCAGCCTCCTGCGCTGCCCTGAAGCCAAGACAGCCTCATCTGCAAGGGAGGGTTCAGCTGCACCCCCTTCTCCTTTCACCCTACGCTTCCCAGCTATGAACAGGGATTTTTGGTGAAAAACTTGTGTTCCTCTCCATAGGAACAGCATGGAATGTGAAGCAATTTCTGTCAGTATTTGACTTCTTGCATCTTTCAAGCTGCAGAGGGCTGGTGGCAGCTGCGGTCACTGTGTTTCTCCTTAATGTTCCCTGGAGAGTCCACAAGCCATCCAGCCATCTCTGGCATGTTTATGTTGGCTCCGGGGCTGAAGAGTGACTTTGCATGGCAAGCTGAGCTTTGCCTTTCCTATCACTGCGAGTCCCCTCTCTGTGGGTTTGGGAGCCCTCCAGGTTACACCTCTGCAGGGGGAGGTTTTCAATTCCCTCGTGGACCTTGTGGCTTTCCCACAGACCCATCTCAAATGCAGAAGTTGCTGAACTGTGTTCAGTCTTTCTAGGTGTTGTCTCCATCAGTAACCCTGAAGAACCTACATGACACGAAAATCCCCTCGGTTGAAGAAAACATACAGGGCTTTAGCTTGAATTTGGTCAAAATTCTTTGGAAAAGGGCTAATGTGGGGAGGGGATGTAGAGAATAAATTGCAGCACCTCATTGCCTGAGTTCACAGTTGAGGTCCTCCAAAGAGGCAGAGCGGCACCGCGCAAAGAAGTGCCCTCATGCAGCCACCATGCTTGGTGCAAGAAAGGTCCTGGTGCTCATGATGCTACTCACCCTCTCCCCATGCTGTGATGCAGGTAAAGCACCTCAGGGGCCACTGCTGCAGGTCAGGGCTTGGGGTTGTCCTGTTGGGGAGGTCAGGCAAGAAACCCTGGTGTGGAGCCAGAACGGTGCTGCTGGCAGGAGGAGCAACCCTCTGGTCAGGGCAGGGCTGTGTGTCCTGAGGTTCAGGGAAGGATGGAGACTGTTCCTGGGGCCGGGTGGCTTTGGCAAAGCTGCCTGCAGGGCTGCTGGTGCTGGGTGATAACCTAGAGCATCCTCCTGCCCCGGGAAGGAAGGAGGACACCTGTGGCTCCTCACGGCAGCATCTGCAGCACTTGGGGGTTGCTGTGTACATCAGCCTTGTCATGAGGGAAGGTCTTATATTAAAGACTGCTTTCCAAAGCCAGCGTTCACCATCTCTCTTTGTCTTTTCCAGCCCCTTATGCACCGTTCGAGTGCTGCTTCAGTTACATAAAGTCCCCTATCCGGCTGGCTAACCTGAAGAGTTCCTACAAAACTCCCAAGGACTGTTTTTGCCAAGCAATTGTGTAAGTCCTGGTAATTTTCTCACCACTGTGCTGTCTCTTGGGCCACCACGAGTTCAGTTCATCCATCCCATCTGGGGCTGGGTCTGCATGGCCTCCACAAGTGGCTGTCTTCCAGCATGAAGAGGGGAGGACATGACTGTCTGGCCATTTCTGCAGGGCAGTTAAGGACACAGGTCCATCACTGCTCCTGGAGGAGCTCTGCACGGGTTCTAGAGGCACTGGGCTGCCAGAGGAGCTGCTTGTAGGACACCAAGTACCCAGGGGCAGCATGCAGGGCCACAGGGGAAGGAGAAGGAGTGCAGGGAAGGCAGGATGGCACGGGCACAAGTGGGATTATAGCTGTCATTTCTCACCAAGCTTCACCTTTCATCTCTGCAGGTTTGAGACCAGGAATGGGAGCAAGGTCTGTGCAGACCCAGAGATGACTTGGGTGCAGAAAGCTGTTCAGAGGCTTCAAAAAAAGGAAGGACTTCATGCCCCATGATGTAGAGTGGGGTGCCCTGGTTTGGACTACCCAACATCCTGGTGGGAAGGAAGGTTTACAGTCATCCTCCTGGCAAGGGCTGTGGATGTTCCTGCTGCTGAGGGACAGCACTGATTCCCAGAGCCCTGTGCTGCATTGACCAGCCAGGCACCAGCTCCTGGGGGGCTGCCAGCCCCGCCAGCACCCGCCTGCTGAGCGCAGCCACAAAATAAAGGTTTACTTCATGTGGTATTGGAGAGTGGTGTCCTTTCTTCTCCCAGTCCCAGCAACCATGCTGCTGATGGCTGGTCGAGCCATGGAGAGGGGTGGGATGTGGGCTCTTCCCACTGCCTCCCAAAACCTCATGGGTCTCACTGGGGCGGGCAGGGAGTGGAACAGGAAGGTGCTGCATGGATGCTCTGGGCATTTTGGCTACTTGCTTCAAGGGGACCCAAAAGGGGCTGATGACTCTTCTGATGGCTTTTAGGTGCAAGACTGCCATCAGTTTTGGGCTTAGAGCATTCAGCTTGTCCCTTGCGTTGCCCCGTGCATGCCATGCATGAGCACAGCCTGGCTGCCACAGTGTGCCCAAGACTTTAGTGTATCTGAGCTGTGCTGCAGAGGAAGGATTTCTCTGCAGAGCTCCCTGGGCAGGCAGAAGAGACAGGGGATGCTGAAGCAGACAAGGGACTCACCCACATACAGCCATGGAAATCCCCTCCATGCCAGGGGCCACAGGGAGCTCATCAGTGACCCCTGCCAGGGTTTTGGGGATGAGGAGGAGGACTGGAAGGGCAAAAGTGAGAAAACTCGTGGGTTGAGTTAAAGACAGTTTAATAAGTGAAGCAAAAGCTGCACTCCAAGAAAAGCAAAATAAGGCCTTTGTTCACTCCTTCCCACCAGCAGGTGTTCAGCCATTGCCAGCAGAGCAGGGCTTCGTCATGCGTAGCAGTGACTTGGGAAGACAAATGTTGTAACCCTGAACATCTGCCCACTTCCTCCTTCTTTCCCCGAGACAGTTTAATAAAGGGGAAAAAAAAGAAAACCAGCCAACCAAAAAAAGAAAAAACATCCGAAAAACCCCACCAAGTGATGCAAAAGCCATCACTCAACACCAGCCAGACCATGCCCAGCCAGTCCCTGAGCAGCAGTCACCCTGGCAGGCCCACTGCCAGCATGCCCAGCTCCTGGGGAATGGGATTTTGACTGCAGCAACCCCAGGGACGCTTTCACAACAGAAGCAAAACCCATCCAGAGCTGGGGGAATGATGCTGACACACCACAGTCTGGGAACCAGAGATCTCATGGGCACCAAGAGGCAGGTGGAGATCTCTGGGGTGCACCAGGAGGTGCTTCAGCTTGAGGAAGCCTTTTAAACTGTTGTCTTTACTCTTCAGGAGCCTTCAGACCACGGGGACACCCTGTTTGCTTGGTCTTGGTGCCCTCTTCTGACAGCTTTGGCATGGATGCAGCCCAGACCCCGGGACTGGGACTGGATGGGGAAGTCCAGCCTGGCACCATGCAGGGGGTGAGTGCAGCGTGCCCGGGAGCCCAGAGCCGAGCAAGGAGGAGCATCCCATCACCTGGAGGAGCTGGTGCCAGGGCTGAGCAGGGCCTCACCTCCATCCTGGTCCTTCATCTGCCATCCCCAGTGTTGGCTCCTGGCAGAGACCCACTGCCACAGAACCAGCATCACTGTGACCTCAGCCCTGGCTGAGCCCGTCAAGAGGCCTCTTGCCCTGTCCCACAGCATGTGTGGGTCCCTGCCAGCTCCCTGGCCAGAGGCCGTCCTGCTGAGCAGGAGCAGATCCCCAGGAAGGGCTAGTCCAGAGCATCCCTCCCACCCCTTGGCATGTGCTGGAGGTGCTGTGCCAGCAGCGCAGGGTGGCCCAGGCTACCAGGATTAGGAGGAAGCTGGGGCTGAGGAATAAGAGGCAGCTGGTGCCCCTGAGCAGGGGGGGAACGAGCTGTGGGGCATCAGCCCCATGGCATCCAGCATGGTGGGGCCAGGCCACAGGCCACCCTTTGGAGCTGCCTTCTCCAACCAGCACAGTCCTCTGCAGCTTCTGTTGCCTGGGGATGGGACCAGGGCTGTGAGGCCACTGCCAGTGCTGTGATGCCATCACATGCATCAGAAACTCCTGGCAGAGGGTCTGGCCCCAGGACCAGAGATGGGTGCCCGGCTGGGACAATGGCTGTGGGTTCTATGGGGAGGTCTGGGTAATCCAGGACCTTCTGTCCTAGGACCTGCATGTTGTCAGGAGAGGGGACCAAGACCAAGCAAACAGGACATCTCTGTGGTCTGAAGGCTCCTGAAGAGTAAAGGCAACAGTTTAAAAGGCTTCCTCAAGCTGAAGCACCTCCTGGTGCACCCCAGAGATCTCCACTTGCCTCTTGGTGCCTACGAGACCTCTGGTTCCCAGACCAACAGGGAACAGACTGGCCCCACAGACACCTCACCTCTGATCCCCTCCAAGGGGGGTCCGTGGAACCCAAGAATGGACATGGCAGGGACACAGGGCCCCAGGGCAGCCTTTATATTATACTTGTATGTTAACGAATTGGTTTTCTTTTGCTTTAATTTATTTTTCTTTCCCGTGTATTTGCATTACCATCAGCTTTATCTCTTTCTGAGTAATTGCCCACTGCTTAGACACATAATCTCAGAACAACTAATAATTAATTGAATGGACATGTAGGCTACTATTATAGTCATCAGCCCTATAAAGACAGATTTGAACAATATTTTAAGTACATTTCCAAACCATCTGCCAATGGCTGGTGTCCAACCCCACCCCTCAAATGCAGTGGGTTTTTTTTCATTTTTATGAAAAATCTTTAAGTGGCTTTGGACTGTCATTACATCTGTTTCTGTTCTTTTGTTTTGGTCTACACAAAAACAACAACCAGTGTTTATGAGAGCACAAAGCCTCCTTCGTCCTCTACTAGATCATCTAAAGCTAATTTGGTTTGTATAACCTTTTGACCTCTGTTTGTAAGGTCTTTTTGCTATCTACTGTAGAGTTTGTAATATTATTTCCCTCGACACATTTCCTATCACCTTTTCCAATTCCCAGCCATGGCAAGAAGACTCTGGCGAATTTATCTAAGGCATCAGTTACTGTTATAGTTTCACCTTTGTCTTTTCAGCCATGGTGGATGGTGATGAAGGCTTCCTGCAGAGAGGGTTTTGGTGGCATCAGTGTCAGGGACCAGCATCCCCAGTGTGCAAGTGCCTTTGCTCTTCCATTGTCTTTGGCTTCTATTGTATTCACGTACCCTGTTAAACTATTAATTTTTTATGATTACCCACTCAAAAACCAAAACATTGTATGAGTCAGAGAATATTTCCCATCTCTACATGGGTTTTTTTGTCCGTCCCTACCCATTTTAATCTCTAAAGCAGCGTTTTTCCTCAGTCAAACAATTTGTAGTCAATTATAAATTACAGTGAAGTTGCAGTTGGTCTGGGCACTGATAAAATCATGTGTCCAGCCCTCCTCTCTGCCCAGCTGGCTGCTTGCCTTTGCATTTGCCTAACCAGGCAAATCGGGGGGGGGGAGGCCCTGCAACTCCACACCTGGAGACAAGGCTGTGCCACTGGTGGGGATGGCCTGGGAGGTTGCCGGGAGCAACCCAGGCATGGTGGTTTTGAAGGGGCTGGAGAAGACTAAAGCCAAGCCCAGAGGTCCGCTGCTGGGGCAGGGACACAGAGGAAAGCCCAGTCCTCCAGAGAGCCTCATGGGGTCTCTCCAGGCCTTCAAATACCCCACATGTGCTGACTTGCTTTATGAAGAGCAGATAGTGGAGGCATCTGCTAATGCTTCTGATGGGACTGGGGACAAGATTGATTGGCTAAGGGAAAAGCAGGATCAACATGTGCCTCAGATAAATCTGAAAAGGGAGCTCAGAGCTTGGCACATGAGGTTTCCTACATGAGGAGCTGTTGGCTGGAAAAAGCCATTAGCTCAGTTCTCCCTTAATTAGAGCCCTTCACTTTTGACCAATGTTTAGGAGGTGGTGTGACCCTGGCAGCTTGTTGGGCTTGAAGGTCTGTACATTCGGGACATTGTAGGGGCTGCAAAAGGGAAGATGGGAGAGCTGGGGGGAGATGCAGAGACTGTAGAAAGGGGCTCAGGGGCCGTGTATCAGGTGTTTTCTTTCTGCAGAGACCTTTCCTGGGGAAAGTGGCATTAGAAACCAGTGGTGCCATACCCAGCTCTCTGCATGGCCACCCTGCTGCCATGCCAGGCCACCAGACCCGATGTCCTGCAGACCACATCTTCCAAATCAGAGCTGTCAGCACATTTGATTTGTTTCCTTCTCCTTTCTTCTTCCAGAGAAGTGCAAACATGAGCTAATCTTCAAGGAAGTCTGTTTCCACCTTTCTTCTCCTCTGAGAAGCCCTGGCTTCCCCTCCCATGCCCCCACTCACCATTATCCCACATGGATTCCCACTGGGTCCTCACCCCCTCCTCACACGCAGACCGCAGCTGGACTGATGTCCACAAGTGCTCCATGGTGCTGCTGTCAGGGTCTGTGCCACCCACCCCCACTGCCCTCAGCGGTCCTCTCTGGGGTCTGGGATGACCCTCTTGAGGTTGTGGTAGGGTTTGTCCCATCTCCCTGCAGAAATGATCTGTCTGTGCACTGATGACCACAAGTCTCCATCCCTCTGACCCTCTCATTTCAATCCTATCGCTGGTATGGGAGGCAGAGGCAATGCTTGGGCTCAGACTTCGGATCAGACACACTCTCCTTAGATGCCCCACTGTGGTTGCCCCATTTCTTCCCCTTCTGTAAAGTCTCCTGAACCCACCAAAAGCATCTCTGTGACCCCCTGCTCTGGGCTTCCTCCTAGTTCAGTCCAGTGTGGCTTTTTCTGCTTGACATCATCCCATCCCAGCCCATCCCATCCCACCCCACCCCACCCGATGCTGAGTGTTCACTGCCTAACCCAGTGCCCTTGGTACAGCCAGGGTGGCTGGGGAAGCCGGTTTGGAGGGAACTCATTAGTCACTTGCCTTTGACAACTCAGGCAAACCAGCTAAACCCATCAATGACCTGTTCCTGCTCAGGATTTTGGGTTGTCTCTCCTGTTAGAAACAAACAGGCAAGCATTAGACTTGATACCTTGCCTTCGCAGAAAGTTGTTTTTAATCTGCTTTCCTGGGTAAATTTCAGTTCCCCCAAAGCCTCCTGGAAGCCCCTCGTGCCTCTTCCGCAGAAAGCAGAAGTGGCTGCCCTGCTCCTTGCCCTCTTCCACCCGCCACGGGATGTGCCCCCAAAGTAAACAATACAGAAATTTCCTCGTCTGTGGCAAGAAGCTTCTTAGAACATGTCCAAAATTTTTGGAAAAGTGGTTAAAGTGAGTGGCATGCAGAGGATAAATTACGGTGCGGTGCGAGCCAAAGCCACAGACACCAGACACGAAGCAGGACGGAGGAAGAGCCCTCATGTCCAGCTGCCTCACCATGCTCACTGCAAGGATGGTCCCACTGCTCGTCCTGCTCCTCATCTTCTCCCTGCACTGCGCCGCAGGTAAGGCACCACCTGGGCCACTGCTGTGGTGGTGGAGGGGTGGGGACGTCCTGTTGGGGAGGTCAGGCAGGAAACCCCAGCAGGGACGGTGCTGCTAGCCGAAGGAAGAACCCCCTGGTCGGGGCAGGGCAGCACGTCCCGGGGTGCAGGGAAGGATGGAGAGGGTGCTGGGTGGCCTCAGCAAAGCCAGCCCTGGGAAGATGCTGGAGGAGCTTGGAGGAGACTGGAACCCATTCCCCAGGTTTCAGCTGGATAAGCATGTGGTTGGAGGGGGAGCATGTGCTGCTGTTTGGAGCCTCCCAGAACACCTTACAAGTTGTGCCCCTGCCTTGGAAACCCCCAAAACCTTGTCCCCAGACTGAGCACCCTGTTCCCCTCCCCACCGCTGTCCACGTTTCACAGTCCTGCACTTGCTGCCATGAAGGGAGACGAATCCCTGCCATGGGAGGCTGTGGGAGCTGCTGAGAAGCTCCATGACCTCCATCCTGCGTTCGATACCTTGTGGTGTCACTGTCTGGCAGTGCAATTAGTTGCAAAATGCTGCCAAGGGTGTTCACAATGTCTCTCCCTTCCCTCCACAGCCCACTTCACGCCCACCGAATGCTGCTTTGAGTACGCACAGAAACCCATCCGACACATCCAGAGTTTCTATGAGACACCCAGCAACTGCCCCTTGCATGCAGTTGTGTGAGTAACCCTGAGGTTCACCTCCCATGCCTGGCACACTGTCACAGTTGGGAGATGGAGCAGCTCCCCCCAACCCATCCTGCCCCACAGACAGCCCAGTCCCAGCTGGGAGAACATGCCTGGAGGGGGCTGTAGCAGGAAAGTAGCTCTGTGGGGCGGGCAGAGGGGGGAAAAAAATTAGGTTTTGGTGTTTTCTGCTAATGCCAGTGGGCTGGGAAGACTCAGACGTGCATGGAGGAGGGCATGGGCTGCTGGAGATGGCTCCAAGCTTCCATCCAGCATAGGGGATGCACACAGGGAAGGAGGAAGTAGTGTATGGGAAGGGAACGGCTCATCATTCGTGTTTTCACTTTCCTCACTGCAGGTTTGTGGCTGCCACCGGTGCTGAGGTCTGCACCAACCCCAGGAAGCCCTGGGTGAAGAAAGCCATGAAAAAGCTTCAAAGGAAATAATAAAATCCTCTTTCTGCTGTCCACCATCTGACTTGCCCATGCAGTCCTCCCATCTCTGCAGGGAGCAGACGGCGCTCACGGCACTTCCCCAAAGGGTCCCGCGGCAGTGGGTGCTTCACTGCGGGTGGAGCCAGCCTGTACCCCGGCAGGACCGGGTGTCACAGCGGCATGGACCAGCTGGCCACCAGGTCCCTCCTGCTGTCACTGCCCTGCCAGGATGCACCCAGTGGAGCAAATATTTAAAATAAACACACATTGCCACAAGTTGCTTTTTGAATTTTTCCTGATTCTTCAGCCCAAGGAGCAGATCCTACAAGCTCAGGGCACAGTGTGACTGAAAACTCCCTTTTGCCATGGGCACGTGTTTCTCCAGGCTTGGAGCAAACTGTATGGTCATGGTGTGCATCATTGGGAACGTGACAGTGGGGCCAGGTCTTGACTCATAGGCCAAGGACCCATAGGTAAGGCTATTGTCCTCACAGTATGCTTTCAGCCCCACGGGCATCACAGCCGCTCCAAAATCAGATGGTCGGGAGTGGAGGGTTCAGGGAGAAGATACTGATTTGTCAAGCCCTTAATACCTCGTCAGCTTCTGAATATGCTGGTGGCCAACTGCAAAATAAGTGAGGGAAATGAAAAACAAATGTGTGCAGTGCCAGGAGGGCACAACTCCTTCAGCTGGGCAGGAAAAGAGGTGTCCCAGCTGCCGACCCTCTGCAGGGCTGGGGAGGGGTGGGAGCAGCACAGGACCCTGTTAGCACCAGGCTGATGGTCCATCATTTCATGTGAGAGGTGCAGAGTGTGCGTGGGAAAACCTCACAAAAAAGGTTTGTGGGAAGTGCCACGGACTGATCCTCAACCTAAAGCTTCATCAGTGTTTCATGCTCATGATTAGAAAACAGGGCAGGGCTGTATTTTCTAGGATATTGACTGTAGGCCGGGGACAAATCCCAAATGACATTTTCACCCACAAATCCTAAGCACCACGGGATGAGGCAGGGTGGGAACGACAGCTGAGGCAGAATCCAGTCTGGGGGACACATGTCTCATGGATTGTGCTTGGCTGTTTACAGACACAAAGTTTCAGCGTTACACCTTCACACCACGGAACACTGAGGGCTGTTGTCTTCCGAGAGAAAACACGGATGTGCAAGTAGCCGTGCAAGGTGGCAAGCTTCTGTATAGACACCCCCAGTCTGTATTTCATAAACTCTTTAAACACTTAGGAAACTAAGCAGCTTTCCCCAGTCATTCGAGTTTGACGGTTACAAAGATCATTTCCCCCATATTTTTTTTAAACACCACTGAAAATCAAAATTACATAGGCCCACAGCCAGAATATTACAAGCGGCAACATGATGCTCAAGGAGAAAAAGTAATTCTTGCCATGACACAGAGCCAATCTGGAAATTTTGGACCTGCAAAAAGAGCAGTGTTGAACAAGACATGAAAGGTGTTAGAAGTTGCTACTGCCAACAAGAGGTGAGGAAGGCCAGCAGGCCATCTAGGAATATTCTGAGGATGACACATCGCACCAGCTATGAGAAAGGTGGTAATGGAAATGTGGGACAAACACCATCTGCCCATATCACAGAGCAGCCCCTGATGAAGAAAAAAAATCACTATGATGATTTTACTAGACTCTATTCCTTCACTAACAAAATAAAATGACACTCCACTGGCCATGCTGTTACTCCTGAGGATTTTACCACCCTGCCTGTTTTGGGCGATGGGGAATGGAGCTGTGGTGACGTTCAGGACTCATCTAGACCCCAGGGACCTCCTGCTCAGGGACCACTCATGTGAACTGATGAGTGAGATGCTGTGAAGTGGGAATGTTACCGAATGTGTGGCATTAGCACCCAAGATGCAGGAGGTGGTCCACGGCAAAGGGACAAAAACTAATTGCCAGGGTCTTCCCTAGGGGTTGGACCACCAGTGCGTGCTGGAAGTGCCCCTTGCCCACCATTTCTGGTAGGGCTTAACAACTGTGGGGGAAGCCATTTTGCAGAAGGGTTTGGAGAACAGCCATCATGGGCTTTCTGTTACGCCAAGAAAATCTTATAGCAGAAATATGCCTAGGTGTTGGCAGCTGCTGCATCATGAACTGCCCCATAAATACCCATTATCAAAGCCGGGTAGGGGTTACCTGAAAATCTTAGTAGTGATTCCTTGTTTCCGTCTAATAATTGTAGTGAGGCAGCAAGGCCTGAGCCAAGAGCCCACCCTGACCACCAAGGGACCTGCATTAATGACAGGGACGCACTTCTGTTGGCATCTGCTCAGCCCTGGATGGGGAAAACTCATCCTGGAGCCAGCTCATCCTTGCTGGGCAGAGCCCAGCTCCTTCCACCGAGCGCTTGGTCCCAGGGCTGATGCCTCCCAAGCTGGGGGGCATTGCTGCGCTAACCACCCCATTATCCTGCCCGATGGTGGCCAGACCCCATCCCCTGTCAGAGGAGACACAAGCTGCCACCTGAGCCAGCTCCACCGCTCGTCTTCCCCAGCGAGCAGAGAGTGACAAAGCACATGGCTCCACACTAGCTCTTGCACACGGATGTGTATTTTAATAAAAATAATTCTGTCAATATACAGCAGAACGTCGATTTCTTTACCGTATTTCCAGTATATTTTCATAGGCTTTTCTGTTAAAATCCCCCCTCCCCTTTTTGAAGTTTTCATGCGAAGCATCAGATAACTTAATTCACAAATACTAAGCTTAGACTGAACCAATGTGCACAATTTGTGTGATGTCCATTTAGCCAATGTTGTACCAAAGAGGAGAAACTCCCCTCCAAAGGTGATGAGAAGTCTGGAGTGGCAGAGGAAGATCTGCTCTGTTGCAGCCCAACGGTGGCCATTCCTCCAGGGCTGGTTGGAAACCTGCAAAGACCTCGCACCCCATGCTCCAGCTGAGCATTTCATACCTGAGTTTTGAGCAACCAGCAGAAGAGAGTTAACTGCGTAGTGGGCAGGTCCTTGGGCTTGCACTGTCGAATAGGTTGCGTGCAAGAGCTTCAGGTGCCAGCAGCCTCCTCCTGCCTCCCCTGGCTGGAGAGCCATGCACAGGCATGAACCGAGAGAGACAATCCCAATCAAACGCCTGTGCAGAGTCCTTGGTCTGGAAGAGTCATCACACTTTAATTTTAAAAATTTTCTTTAAAATGTTGATTATCCCCAGAGCCGCTGCTGCGCCTCCTTTCTCCAAGTTTGAGCCTGTGAGAAGCCTAGTCCGCATCAACCCCCTGTGTTCCCTCCTGCAGGAATGATGCAGCTAAAGCCCTCCTGAGCAAAGGGGTCAGAGCACATCCCTGGACCCAAGTGAAGCAACCAGAGAAATGGTGACTGCCTGGCCAGAGGAAGTTCAACAAGGAGCAGAGGTTTGCATGGCCTCCAGGAACGTTTCTGCAGCAATGTGAGTGTAAATCCCACACAGGACTTGGCTTCTTGCGAGCAGGAGAGAGTTAAAAGCCTCCCTCTTGGAAATAAAATGGCTGGCAGGACATGTGCTCCCCAAGCCTGGATGAACCCTGGGCTTGTCGGGCATTGCTACAGCTCAAGGCTGCAGGCTCTGAGCTCTGGTGTGGGACACAGGGAGAGGGATAGACATGCCACGTTCACTCATCCATCACACGCCACCTCGTGTTGCAGGGAAGGATGGTGGAGAGCAGCTAGTGCTTTCTCTGGAAAAGGCCTCCAGGCTCTCAACTGCTCCCCTTTCCTCCCCAAATCTGCCTCGACCCCGCACCACCCCACCCCCCCAACACTTCCTCCAGCTCTCTGACCTACACAGTGGATGGGACACGGCTTACACGCAGCTTTTGGCCCTGAGCAAGAGCTGCTGGACTGCAGTTCCCTCCATCACTCATTCTTCTGGGGCAGAAGGGTCCCAGCAGCACACAGCACACATCCCTTGTCATGTACCCCTGAGCCCTTTTGCTGAAACACCTAGGGACAGCCAGCTACAGCTGAAGTCCCAACACCAGCTCTCTACAAGAGACCTACTCCCCTCCGGATCCACCACTCACGCTGCGCTAACATGGGCAGGATTTCAAGGAAGTTGCTCCTTCCCCAACAGGGACTCCCAGGTGGAGCAGGATGACCTTCTCCAGGAACATGTTCCTGCTCTCATGCTGTGACCAGCTCCATGGGGCCTCACTGCACCCAGGACAGATGTGTGCTGGACCTCTCTGCCTGTCGCCGTGTGAGGGCAGTTGAAGTCTGCACACTGCTTCTTCATGGACAGAACTTCCCGATACCGTGTTGTGCACCACGCAGCTTCACGGCATTTACACACTGCTATATCACCTGGCTACCATGGTTCACCTTCTCAATCAATCCCATGATGGCAGAAAGAACTCTGAAACTTGCACCTAAGCAACACGTGCTACGAGAGTATTAAGGTACCAAAGCACTGCAGCATCACAGCAATCCAACAAGGCTTGCTTTGCTGGAGAAGGAGACAGTTCATCATCTCTGATGCCTAAGGAGGAAAATGATAAATTCAATCCCCAGAGCCAGTTTCACCAGCTCTGGTTGTTCCAGTTGTTCAAGGGAGCCTCAAGAACAAAGCTATTTAAAGAATGGTAAAGATGCCTTAATAAAACTATGCGAAAAATAAGGACACAGCTTGAGGACAGGCTGAGATGTCACTGTGAAAAACCAGGAATAAGGAAGCAGATGGGAAAGTCCTAGGTGTATGCAACCATGAGGAATGACACTCCTAGAGAGGCCTGTTCTCCACACTAGTCACAGCTGCACCTCCTGGTGTCCAAATCAGGTCGTCAGCAGCATGGTAAGCACCACCAGGATGTTGGAAATGGAAACAGGCTATAGCACCGATAACCACACACCTTCCACGTGTCCCAAAGCAATAAGCTACAGTTCTGGTACACATGGGGGTCTGGAGAGCAGCCACTGGACAACCTCCCCCCAACAGCTGGATGCCATGTACCCGGTGCTTCACTTTGGAGGTCCCTCTCCATTCTGCTGGCCACACG